GATAGGGGTTGGGGCAGTCAGGGGACAGGGAGAAGTGGGGGTTGGATGGGGGTGGGGTCCTGGTGGGAGCAGTTAGGGGCGTGGGGTCCTGGGAGGGAGCGGTTAGGGAACAAGGAGCGGGGGGGGGGTTGGATGGGTGGGGGATTCTGAGGGGGACAGTCAGGGGGCGGGAAGTGGGAGGGGTGGATGGGGTCGGGGGCCAGGCTGTTTGGGGAGGCACAGCCTTCCCTACCCGGCCCTCCAAACAGTTTTGCAACCCCCAATGTGGCCCTCGGGCCAAAAAGTTTGCCCACCCCTGATCTAGCAGCTGCTTGTCAAAAGGCACTGGCAGAATGTAAACGGGGAGCAGCGGTCAAGTCAGCCGGACCAAAATCTGACCTGCTTTTATTTTCTTTGCTACTTTCACATACACAGAGTCAGGATGGCTGAGGCTAGTGGTCAGGGCAGCAGGCAGCCGGGCCTGCAGTGGGCGGCGATGCCTAGTGGTCAGAGCCAGGGTCAGGAACCCGGAGTCGGAGCCAAGAGTTGGAACTGGAATCAGGAACTGAGCAGGACGAGAGCAGGACTGGAGTGAGGCTGGGAACAGGAGTGATCCTGCTTGCAGGTGTAAATGCTGAGTAGCTGGGGGACTCAAGTGCTGGTTCTGTTGGTTCCTCCAGCCAGCCAGGAGATTTTGTTGCAAGCCAGCTGTGCATGACCTGTGAGTCCTCTGTTGCTCACGAGAGTTGGAACTAGCTGGTCCTATTAACAGGAGTTGAGGGACCAACAGTGAGTCAGTGGACAGGGGTCCTGATGACACTTTTTCCATCTCAATCATCATTGCCCGCGTGGTGACGCAGGCCGTCGTGCTGCCGGAGGTGCCTTCATTAGATGAGACATAAAGCTGAGCTCCGTATCACTTGTGGCCACGAAAGGCCCCAGGAGACTTTTGGCCAGAAATGGGGCTTTAAGCCCCATGTGCTGGCCAAGTACCAATTTAGGGCATGGCTACACTTGCAGCTGTAGAGCGCTTTGAGTTAAACCCGCCTTCGGAGAGCGCAGTAGGGAAAGCGCTGCAGTCTGTCCACACTGACAGCTGCAAGCTCACCACAGACTTCCAGTGTAACCTTGGGAAAGTCACTTAGCCTCTCTGTGCCGCAGACCCCCCCATTGTACGGATGGGGAAAAAGGCACTGCCCTTCCTCACAGTGGCGTTGAGAGAACATAGACATTCGAGATTGTGAGACACTCAGATACTATGGTAATGGGGCCGTATGAGGGACTGTGTTTTTGTTCTGTGTCCATGACTAGAGCTCATAGGCACTACGGTAATACAGACAATAAATAATAATAATGAATAATACGGAAGATAGAAGAATATCCAACATCGTGCATGCGTAATAGAGTTTATATCATGACAATTTCCGTATGAGAATTTGGTCTTTATTGCTCAGGATGATGATATATCTATAGTCAACTAGAACCCTGAGGGTATCTCCGTGATTATATCACAAGGTGATAGGAGCCCGAGATATACGATAGATGATAAATCGTTATCTTGCTTCTCCTGTCTAACGGTTGCTGTTCCTCATCCTTGCCTCTCAAGGAATGCATGTGAACTATCCCTTGCCTTCAATTGTATGTGCTTGGGTGATTTCTTTTAAAATGTTTATTGGCTAAAGCTATTCCCTTGTGTGTGAAATCGTCTACAGTCATTTCCATCAAGCGAAGCGACGCCGATGTGTACCGGTGAAAACAGAGCTGATGGAAGTGCAGGCTGCCCTGCCTCTGAACTCATCCTCTAGCCTTGTAGGGGGTCTAGCCAATACTTCCAGAGCTAAGAGCAGACAGAACTTTACTGATCCCTACTCCCCTTCCTTTTCTAGGAACATCAGCTGTGGCGACATAGCATCCGGAAACCAAATGACTTGATTGAAACCAGAGACTTGAAAAGCGAAACTGACTAGTAGGAGGAGAGCTGTTAAAGAGAAGACCCTGAGCGCTGACGGACCAAGTAAGATGACCTTTCTCCAGCATGACAGTTCGAATGTAATTATTTGGACAAATCATTTTCATGACTTAATATAACGCCTTGCAGCTTTCCAGCAAGGTTAATTGGATTCCTCAGTTCAAAACCTATCTGCTCTTAACCCACTTTTAATATGCTGAGATCCAGTTTTCTAAATTCAAACTAATAAAGTGATTAGTTGACAGCTATCTGGTATGCTACAATTACCATGGCATTTAGACCTCAGGCAGAAGATATTTAATGCAAATCAGAGTCAATGTCTCTGCCCATTTGTCCTTTTTCCTGATGATTTGATCAATGTGCCATATGACTCTTTAGCTTGTACGGTCTATGGTACTATACTAAATAAATGCAGTCCGGCTACAAAGGCAGAGAGATTGGTTCAGACAGTTAACCACGCAAAGTCCAAAGGCTTCCCCCCCACTTCCATCCTTCATTTTTTTCCCAATGGGTTTAATGCTGGTGAGAGGTGCTGGACTGACAGCCCTGGATAGTTTCCCCAAAGTGCTGTATGGAGCACAAGTGGCTGAGCAGAACTGAGGAGGAATTCTACAAAACAACAGGACACGTGCTAATCAGCTCTCTCCTGCTGGGAAATGATGTTTAAAAGAAAACTGAGACTGGAGGCCTCAGGTTGGATTCTCTAGTCAATCCCGGCGACCTGAGAATTAAGTGTGATCCTAGATTGTTCATTGCCCAGCATGTAATGACATGTCATCTGCCTGAGCTAAGACTTGGATTTTTGCAGGTTGCTGGTCTCCTACCTTGCTCCACGGCCATTCAGTCTTTGACCTTATTGCTGAGGATAACACGGCTGGCAATTTTTGACTGGTTTGGTGATTTGGGCACCTATATTGGGTGCTGGAGCCAGTTCACGCACTCATTTCATTTCATGTAAGCTAAACAGCCACTGGGTGGCAAACAGCAGCTGTTTCCAATCGATGGTCTTACCAATGACCTAAAGTTGAAGGGCTTTATATCCCACTCCCCTGAGTTACACAGCCCTCTTTGTCAAAAATCATACTCTGAAAGGAGTCAAGTCATCTAGTGATGCAGCATTAGCCTGCAAGACATAAATATTTCAGCTTCACAACTATAAGTGCCGAGCAAAACTCAAGCTTCATTTCATACCACTGTGTTTCCCTGACAGATCTATCAGCCAAGCGTATGAGAAATTGAAGTGCAGATAGTGGGAAATTGCAAGTATGACTGAGTTGCTTGACTTCACCACATAATCCAAAGCTCACACTAACTTGTATTTTATACAGAGGCATGAGATACCACAATGAAATACCTTCAAAAAGGGAATCAGTGGCTCGTCTCTTTCAGACAAACAAGATGACATGGTTATAAGGAGCTATAATCAACCCTGGTATATTTCCACTGAAGTCCATTGGGCGAAGTGGAATTGCTCTTGGTTACACCAACGTAAGTGAAATCAGAATCAGGCCCTATGATATTGCACCAACTTACACCAAGGCTGAATTTGACCCAGTAGCTAGAGAGGTTGCAGACTGATGGTGTCAAACAGAACCAGGCACTGAAACATTGAACTTAATCACTGGTGAGAGTTTAAAAACACAGTTAGCGAGCATCAGATTTCTGTTGAAATTACAGAGGGATCCCTATGAACAATTACACTACATGCCCAAGCATACCAAACCAATCCATCATTACTAATGCCATCGCATTAGCAGTGCGGCTGTCAAGTGTCCCCATTACAGAGCGTGGTAAATAGATCAAAAGGCCCTGGGTAGATTTATTCAACGTGACGCGGCACTTACCGAAGTAGTCATCAGAGGGCGGATTCTCCATGTCGTACAGCATCTTCTTGGTCAGATGTTCCAGCTCATCCTCAGGTCTGAACAAAGGAGCATTTGATGCCGAGCCAGAGGCAGGGTACCCACTCTGCAGAAGGCAAGACACACGCTGTTTGTGAAGTTTCAAATCAGCATTAAAATGTCCACCCAAGGCTGCACATGCCCGATGTAAGACAGAAAGGTAAAGAAAAGTCACTCTATTGGCTGTTTGGCTTTCAAGCTCACTCGTGGGTCTTATTTTTCTTCTCCTGGGACCCAGTGGGTTGGACAAATAAACATCCCATTTAATGAAATGAAAATAGATGCCCCAAAACTCTGAACAATTTCCATCAGAATGAGATGAGTAGGTATAACTAGAAGGGATGTATGTACCCAGTAATTAGACAGCCTCGCAGACCTTTGGATAGACTTCAAATAAGAAAGAAAGGGGGAATTATGCTAAGGATAATCAAATATAAACATTTCCTAATAAGAAAGGAGTCGGAGGTTTTAGAATTGTCTTCCTAGGGATGTGGTGGAAGGCCTGTTGGCTTGAACCACTTAAAACTGGTCTGGACACAGTACCAGAGAAGATGCCAGAGGGAACAGTCTTGCATTTGGTAGAAGGGATAGACTACGAGATTTAGGCTTGGTCTACACTACTCGCCTGATTCGGCGTATAGAGATCGATCTTCTGGGATCGATTTATCGCGTCTCATCTGGACGCGATAAATCGATCCCAGAAGTGCTCCCCCGTTGACTGCGGAACTCCTGCTCGCCGAAAGGAGGAAGCGCTGTCGACGGGGGAGCTTGCCTGCGCCGCGTGGACCCGCAGTAAGTAAACTTAATTCGATCTAGGAAACGTCGACTTCAGCTACGCTATTCTCGTAGCTGAAGTTGCGTTTCCTAGATCGATCCCCCGCCCCAGTGTGGACCAAGCCCTAGTCTCCAAAGGCTAGATATATTTTCTCTTTAGTATGGCTTCCAGAGAGCCAAGTCCTGATCAAAGGACGTTTTGCCATTCATAAGAAGGGCTCCAGCATTTGGCTCACGGATTTTAGTATTAGAGATGCAAACATTTTAACGTGTGCTTAGAAATGAGACCTCTTGGCCTTCACGTGTTAAGAGCTGGTGTGCAGTATCTGCAATGTTTTCCAGTGAGTTGTCTTAAGAAAACAACAGAAATATGGAGACATCTTGAGAAACAGGGAAGTGCTCTAGTGCCTCAATGTACCCTGGGAGGATCTTAGAAGCAGTTAAGTATGGTGTATGTTATTCAGTACAAGGGTCATTACAGAATTAAAAGATGCTGAGATAAGATTTCCAGGCATGTATTATTTTCTTGAATAACCTGTATGCAAGAATGAACTTGTTTGTGCAATAAAGTATGGTAGTTAAAGTCAGGGTGACTTATTTGGTTAATTGCTGCTTTCATGTGGGATTTCATTTCAGATCCATACCTTAGGATCATTACTCTAGAGGCACACGTGCCTTTTCCCATACCTGATACCCATTTAAATGTGGATCAAATGGTTATGTTGCTGGAGAACATCATATTGGTCACCCTGGTGATAAACATTTAACTTACAGAGACTGGAAAAAAAACATACAACTGACACGATGAATCTTTCGAACCACTTGTTGTCAGCCAAGTACAACAGCACCCCCAATGGCCTGTCTAAACACACAAACTCTTGCTTTACAGGCACGGGGGAAATTCTGAATTTGACATCAGTCAGGTGGAGGAGTTCTTAGAATTGTATTCTGTGATAACATCTCCATCAGCCTCATTCGACTGAGATGCTATACTCCAAATCTGAGAGAGAGAAGAGCTCAGAAAAGCATCACTGATCTTTTGGTTTTGCCACTGATGACTGTTCTCAGTCTTAAAAGAAAAATAAAATAAAAAAAAAAAAAGGAAGCCAAATTTACAAGTTTGATCCCTCTGTGTTCAAATCAGGTGTATCAATGTTTCCATTAGAAATATGTCCCATGCTGTAGTATACCATGCCACTACACGGGGCTGAAAGCCTGTTTCCAACAAGTAACCTATTAAGCTTCTAGCTGCAACCAGGAGTTGAGAAATTCAGTTGTGTAACATTAATAAATCAATTCCTATTGGCAGTCTCACAAACAGACAAGGAGTCACAAGGAGTCATTCTGCCATCAGCTTCACCTGTTCCCATGTTTTGAAAATGTGGGCAGGTCCGCCAGGACTTTCCCTGCTCCCTACAATCTCCCCAGTAAAGGTCACTGCCTAAATTGGATATTTTCTTCTGTTAAACAAGTGAGATACCATTGGAATGAAAGTTTGAAACAATCTTCTCAGACATTACTAATGGATGATGCAAGTTGACCTTCCTGTTCTATATCAGGACGACAGATGCTGGAAGACTTTTCATCAGTCCCATTTCCCTCCCCCTCCCCAGCAAAACATCGATTTTTCACTACATATTCATTTTCATCAGATAATTTGTGTCTCTCAATGTGTTTCGGTTTTTATTTAAAAACTCCCACAAACCCTGGAAACTGATTTTTTTAGTTTTCAATAACCAAAATTGGTTCTGGGTGTATTGACCAAATTCCCCCAACTCCAGGGAAAACTGTCAATCTGAAGGAAAAAAAAGAAAAAAAAGTTCATTATTTTGGAGAGAATAAAACACAAATTTGACCAGTTCTAGTCAGGAACTATTCCCCCTGTTATATCTCCCTTCGATATCACTATCCCATTTTTCTTGAAAAGTCGGTTTTGATCCTTCAACGCTGCTGAGAATTAATGCCTTTCAGTGTACATGTTCGCAATAGCATCTCAGCTCCTCCGAGCATCCTCTGCCTGACGGTGATCCCTTTGAAGGAAGTATTATTAAAAAACGGGGCCTTTTCTTTATGATAAATGATGATTGTGAACTCTCAATGCCTAGTTGACAGCATGTCAGTGACTCTAACAGTTGTGTACTTTATCCAGAATGTTAGTTAGTCACTGAAGGTAAAGATGTCTTAACAAACAGTCAAAACCCAAGAGTTTTAAACAGTTTGGCTAAACATCCCTTCCATTCTCAAACGCTCATGTTTCCTTCCCCTGTGATATCATCATTTCAGGCATGTAAAGAGACTTCCAGGGTAGACAAGTCCTGAATTCCTAATACACCTCTACCCCGATATAACGCTGTCCTTGGGAGCCAAAAAAATCTTACTGCGTTATAGGTGAAACCGCGCTATATCGAACTTGCTTTGATCCGCCGGAGCGCGCAGCCCTGCCCCCCCGGAGCGCTGCTTTACCACGTTATATCAGAATTCGTGTTATATAGGGTCGCGTTATATCGAGGTAGAGGTGTATAAAAAACAAGCACGGGGGTGGGGAGGAGAAAACCAACCAACAACAGCCTTCTCTATCCATCCTGAAGAAGTCAAGAGGGGCACTGGCCCAAACACCTACATTATATTCTCCTTTGCAGGTCACCTTTAATTCAAATGATGTAGGATTCCTGCTGAGACCTTCACCTGATAAGGATACTTCCCCTCTGAGGCTACTGGCAGAACTGAAAGTGAGGTCCCCCCTGCCATCCACTTCCACAACAAAAACTCTCTGAGATCCCAACTTAGGGCATGAGTTCTTGGCCCGTGAGTTGTGAACCACTGACCTTAGGATAACACTCACCCCTGTACAAAGGGCCAGTATAAGTTCTACCTAGGGGCTTATGAGGGACTAAATGGTGCATAAGCCTTGCACCGGCTCTCTGTCCAAGGGAGAACCTTGCCCCTAAGTGAGACACCCCTCAGTGGGACTGTCCATGGAGTAAAGATACTCACATGAGCAAGAGTTTTAGAACCGGCACTTGACCCAGAAGTCAATGGCCAATATTTGAATGACATTTTTTTTTTGAAGTCTGGTAATTAGAAATAATAAATAACATACCCCTATAAAAGGCTTATTAATAAAACAATTAGAGCTGCCAAATGTAAAGCATTTAATCTGGGTAGAACTTTTGCCCCTCCCAGCATTCTCTCTCTTTCCTAAGAGCAGATCATGCATCTCGCTTGAGCATATATTTGAATACAATGAGCATAGCCAAGGACTTATTAGCTCTGGAAATCAATCAGGCAACCAAACCTCTTAACACATTATTCCATCAATTGCGGGTGTTCTTGTTTCCGTGCTGAAAAGAAGAACGACCACACAATAGTTCTGATTTTTAGTTAGTTCCCCGGGGCTTTTTGTGTAGACAAGATGGTGCAGCTTCTGAGAGACTGATGGCTTCCCTTTCAATACACTGCTTCTTCAAGATGCCTAAAAGCCCCACTCACAATGAGGGCCCCACTCCACCGGGCATTGTATATACACAGATTAAGAGACAGCTGCCCCGCTGAAGGCCTTACAGTGTAAATAGACAAGATGGAGAAAGCATCGATAACTGCCCTTGTTTTACGTATAGGGAATTAAGGCAAAGAGTCTCAATGACACAACCAGGGAGTCTATGGCAGAGGTGGGAATTGAACCCAGCCCTTGTGAGTCGCAGACTAGGTCTACACTGTGCCGATGAGGGTGTGAATCGCAGGGCACACTGAAGAGTTGCAATCTAACTGCCTGGTGTGGACACTGCTGGCGCAAACTAAAAGATACCAAGTTTGCATTAACATAGTCCTGCTTGAAAGAGGACTACGCTAATGCAGTTCACACCCTCATAGTCCGCACTGAGGCGTGGTGTAGACAAGCCCAGGGCCCCCAAACCCATCCTTCCTCTTTCTGTGGCAGAACGCTAACAAGTCACTTCACATCAGCTCACAGCCCGGCTGCTGGGACCCCATGCTAAGGATCTCCACAGGCTGAAGGAGATTCTCTTTCTTGTGCCCCACAGTGCACAAAATGGTCATCAGATGCACGCAGTGCCTCCAAGTCCCCGTTTCATGTCAGCTGCAGGTAGCCATTGGGAGCTGGGCTCTGAAGGACTCAGTGGGCAGGGCAGGGAAGTTCTTGGTCTCTGCTATGCAGGAGGTTAAACTAGATGTCCCTTCTGGCCTTAGAATCTATGACCTCCCCGTCCCCCCCAGCATTGGCTTCTCTGATCTCCACACCTCCAGCTCAACTCCTCTGAGGACAGGGACCTAAGA